TATGACGTTCTAATCAGTGTCTCACTTTTATTTTAACTGAAATGCACACCTTGCTGTATAATTTTAAATGGCTAAGCTAGTTAAAGGAATACTTTGATTGTTGCTAACTCTTTCCAGGGCAGGTCAGAGACTCTAACTGGAATTTACAGATAATCACATTACCTTAGATAGTTGTGTTATAAAGAGATTTAAAATTCAAGGACAAACTAAGTATATTTTTGTTGCAGAACTGTCTCATGAATTCCAAGAGGTCTGAGGAATTCTTTTAATATTTAATTGTATTTAATTGATCATCCATTTTACCTCCTTGAACTTAGTTTGCCTGTGACTTTTTTAATCTATAAAATGTAAAAATCACATGTAGACTGAATCAGCAGAATTAGTATGGGTAAGGCTTAAAATATATGTGCTCAAAATGTCATATCTTACTAAAGCTTGTCTGTATAAAGTTTATCGGAGAGGGACACAAAAGATAACCTTAATATTATATTTAGGTGCAAAACATAATCAGTATGCCAATAGAAAGAAAACATGGAAGTTTAGTTAATTAAACCTTTTCTGGGAAAAAATTCTGGCTATAAATAAATATTTATAAATACTAAATTTATAGATAGACTTTGTGTGTGTGTGTGTGCGCACACACACACACACATGCACATGCCAAACCTTGATTATGAAGAAAACTAGAGGCCCGGTGCACAACATTCATGCACTGGGGGACGAGGGGGGCCCTCAGCCCGGCCTACGTGCTTTAGCAGTCCGGGAGCCCTCAGGGGAATGTCCGACTGATGGCTTAGGCATCCTTAGTGCTGCCACAGAGGCGGGAAAGGCTCCCACCATCGCCGCTGTGCTTGCCAGCCATCAGCTTGGCTTGTGGCTGAGCAGCACTCCCCCTGTGGTAGTATCTGCCCCCTGGTGGTCAGTGTGCATCAGAGCGATGGGTCATTCCACCATTTGGTCAATTTGCATATTACCCTTTTATTATATAGGATGGAAATGATACTACAGACCTAAAGGAACCAGGGGCTCTTCTACAGGGGAAGAAATTTAGGACCAAGGAGGAAGGGTGACCTGCCACTGGCACTGTCCTTTGGTGACAAAACTGCATCTACAATCCCGCTGTCCATGGCTCATAGCTGAAGCCAGTCTATCTACCCACTAAGCTGGTCTGCACAGGATGTAAGTGGAAAGAAGTTTTATTCTTTCTTCCACTATCTCTTCAAACTGTCTTTCTGAACTCCTTTTCTACCCTTGCATGGAAATCTGATAAAGTCCCATCGCTCTCTCTGTCTTTTTAAGTAGCAACAATAGTATTTTTTCAAATTCTTCTTGCTTACTTATTTTAAACTAGAGGCCCAGTGCATGAAATTTGTGCACTCGGGGGGAGGCAGTCCCCCAGTCTGGCCTGTGCCCTCTCACAGTGCAGGAGCCCTGTGATTGATCCCCCAAGGAGGTAGGCCCCGCCCACCCATCTGGGGCTCCTCGATGGATTGCTCCAAAGAGGTAGGCCAGAGCCAGGGGTCCCGCCTCCATGGCAGCCGCAGGGCCATGGGAACCCCGGCGGAAGTTGCATGGAGCAGCCGCCAGGACCTGCATCTGCTGTGCGTGCAGCCATCTTGTGATGGCGTAAAGGCATCATGGTGTGACAGCGTGAGGACCACCTAGGCTTTTATTAGTAAAATTGCCTTTTGTTTACTGTCAAAATTACAAAATATTATCTAATTAAAATTGACTCTCCTGAACTATCTCCCTGAGATCAGGCAGGGCTGTGGAGTTACTAGGTGTACCAGTTAATAATGGGGATTTTTTTCAATAGATGGAGTTATACATATGTTGATATATATGCGATTTGATATGTATGCTATTTTGTTGTATTGACAGCAAGCTTCAAAACTTCATATGTCAAATTTGCTGAAGGTGTTAATATCATAGATATTTTTATGCTTAAAAATGTTGAATTTCATGCCAAAAAAAGAGCATTCGTGAGAAGTTTTAATTCATTACTTTATTTTGAAGAAAAAGTTATCATATACTTTGAGAAACTTATGGTGAACAAGCTCCATCTCAAGATACTTGTGAATGCTGGTTTAAACGCTTTAAAAGTGGTGATTTCAATGTGAAAGACAAAGAACGTCCAGGTCAACCAAAAAAGTTTGAAGACCAACAATTATAAGCATTATTGGATGAAGATGCTTGTCAAACTCAAAAACAACTTGCAGAAAGATTAAACGTTGCTCAGCAAACTATTTCCGATTGTTTACAAGCGATGGGAAAGATTTTAAAGGAAGGAAAATGGGTGCCACATCAACTGAACGAAAGACAAGTGGAAAGCCAAAAAGTCATCAGTAAAATGTTGCTTCAACGGCAAGAAAGAAAGTCTTTTTTGCATCGAATTGTGACTGGCGATGAAAAGTGGATTTTTTTTGAGAATTCCAAACACACAAAATCATGGGTTGATCCAGGTCAACCATCAACATCGACTGCAAGGCCAAATCGCTTCGGAAAGAAGACAATGCTCTGCATTTGGTGGGATCAAGAAGGTGTGGTGTATTATGAGCTTCTAAAATCAGGTGAAACCGTTAATACTGATCGCTACTACCGACAACAAGTAATCAATTTGAACCATGCTTCGATCGTGAAATGACCAAAATGTGCCAGAAGACACAGCAAAGTAATTTTGCTTCATAATGAGACACCATCACACACTTCAAAACCAGTTAAAGACATGTTAAAAGATCTTGCCTGAGAAGGATTAACCCACAGCCATATTCACCAGACCTTGCTCCTTCAGATTGCCACTTGTTCCGATCGATGGCACACTTTCTGAGCAGCACTTCAAAACGTACGAGAAGTGGAAAATTGGGTCTCTGAATGGTTTGCCTCAAAACATGAAAAATTCTATTGGGACAGTATCCACAAATTACCTGAAAAATGAGGGAAATGTGTAGCTAGCGATGGACATTACTTTGAATAAAGCACTTTTGATGTTTCTCTTGAAATTATTGTGTTTTCTTTGATTACAAAATCCGCATTATTAACCGGTACACCTAGTAGCTGCTTCTTCCTTTCCTGTTCCACCTCTGCCCATGATCATACAGTGAATAAGCAGCAGAGGTAGGATTTTTAACTTCATTGGCCTCCAGCCATGGCCTGTTCATAGTCCCCTCCCTCAGTCCCTGATTGCTGGCAGTGCACCCGTGCAGGCAACCCTGCTGGGCAAAGACCCTGTAAAATGACCCACTTCTGGTCCAGGGGAGGGGAGATGCACGCCTCTGCTACATCCCTTCTTTGGGGGTAGAGACTGTTACCATCATAGCCCTCTCTCTCCTTTGAGCTACCACCAGACAGGCATGGCTTCAGCCACAGTCTCTCTTAGTGGGTATCACCATCCTTGAGTCTCCCAAACTCCAGGGCATACATGTTAAGTTCTCCCAGCCATCCCCATGGGAGGGCGGGTATCTCACCGCATACCAATGACTGTCTGTCTGTCACAGTCTTCACCATCTCTTCAACTCCAACCCCAGAGGTGAGCAATGACTGGTTGTCCAATCATTTCACACAAATGGCTTAAGTAATCCCTTTCAGATTTAGAAGTCCTTGGTACCTATTGTTTTTATCTTGGCACTGGGGCTTTGGCCATATCTCTTAGACAATAGTAATAAAGGTCACATTTAGCCCACCCAGTGTGGCTTGGGGGTTGAGCATCAACCTATGAAACAGGTTCACTTCCTAGTCAGGGCACATGCCTAGGGTGGGGGCTCCATCCTCAGTGGGGGACAACAGGAGGCAGCTGATCAATAATTCTCACCATTGATGTTTCTCTCTCTCCCTCTCTCTTCCTCTCTGAAACCAATAAAAATATATCTTCATAAAAAAGAATTACTTAAAATACATAAATAAAAGTCACGTTTAAAATCCTGGTACTGTCTCTGCTGAGTAAAATCACTGAAACAGAAAAATAAAAACCTACTAGGATTATCTCAATATTAAATTACTATTGAGAAATTTTCAAAGATATATTTTCTTAAGAATTCCTGTTAGCTTTATAATGGATTAATACAATAACCATAAACTTTCAGAATTAGGACTTCATTCAAGTATCTATCAGTTGCGAAGATATTTCCAAGTTTTTAGCTGTCTATGCTTGAACAACCTAGTGATGGAAAAATCACCATCTCCTGAAACAGTTTGTTCCCATCTGGGATTGCTTCCACCATCAGGAAGTCATTATATGAAACCAAAAACTGTCTCTTTAAGGTTTCCACACCCTTGATCTTAATTTCATCCCTTGGGATCACACAGAAGAAGTCTAATCCCTCTCTCACGTGAAAGACTTCCAAATACGTGAAGCCGACATCTTCTGATACTGCCTTTTCTAATACCAATTCCTTCAGCCGCTGCCTTTGTAACACAGCTTCTATTGCTCTTGCTATCTTGCTTGTCTCTTTCCTGAAACAGCCCCTATGCTCTACTTGAGGTATAGCATCGAGAATTAAGAGAGGGTGGTCCAATGGCCCAACCAGTAGAAGAGGTGACATCGCCACACTTTTTGATTAATGAAACCTAAGTTAACAATTACTCTGCTGATAGCCATGGTGCACAGCTGATTTATACTATATTCACTGCCGACTAAGTCTTTTCCAGATGTGCCACAGCTAAGATATGACTTCCCCTGTACATACGCTGTTGATTTTAGGGTATAAGCAGTGGCCTTTACATATGTTCTCTTTTTTAAAAAAATCAAACTTCTGAGACCAAGTTCAACTAGCCTAAGATTTTAGAACCCTGATTGGACCATTTAATGTACTCTCTTTAACGTCATATCCCCTCAAGTCTTATAAGAGTGCCTTCAACAGCTTCATCCAAATCACCAATAAAAAGGATTAAAGCAAAAAGACTGAAGACATTTCTAGAACATCTCTCCACTTGACATCAACCTACTAAACAGCATCCCCTTGGTAGCTATTCCAGTAGTTATCAATATGCATAATGACACTCACGTCTCAGTCAGCCAGAGGTGTAGTATGAGTCTTGGCCAGATGCTTTGTTCAAATTCAGATTTCAAGGTTCTCCACCCTTCCCAGCTCCGGAAGTCTGGACACCTTGTTAAAAAAAAAAAAGCAAGTTTGCCATGATGGCTGTTGACTTCTCATGAATAAGTGATGCCGCTCCTGAGGACTCACCAGTCATTGACTTGATAGTACTTTGCAGAACTGAGACCAAGTTCATGATGACAGACCAGAGTGTTTTGAAATTATTTCTCTTCTTTTTTGAAAGTTTGAAGGGTCAGAATTCTCAAACTTCTCCTGTCTTTTAGCCCTTCTTGGGCTCCATGATTTCTCAGATCCTTGAGAGAGGCTCTGTGTGCTCAATTTCAAGTTCCCTCCGTTCTAGGGATTTAATGTATTCAGCTGAGAGACTTCAAATCTCTCATGGAGCTGCTGAGAATTCTCTCTCAGTAGTTGAAACAAATATAACATTAACACAACTAAAGTCACTCATTAGAAACCCAGGATTTGGGTTTCGTGCTGTTGAGCTCTTCTGTGCCCCCCCAGGAGCACTTGTCTCACTGAACATCCTCCAACGCCGTCTGCTCCTCCAAAGAAAGACTCCAGCACCATGTGAAAGCGCTCAGTTACTGATATGGAAACAGATGCTTCTAAAAATACCCTTGGAAATGCATGGACATGAAACACATGCCACATATATTTAGTCATAAAAATAAAAAGTTATAATTTTTATCTAGCAACTAGTTATTTGCAATCAAGTCATACCTGACTTTAAAAAATTAAGACAGATTTAGCTGTCTAGTCCACAAAAGAAGTGTCTATTTATCATTCAACCCCCACAGCTATGTCTATGTCCTGGCACGCTGGCTCCTTACTAAAGCACCCAGCATTATTTTCCTGATTGGTTTAGGGCATATAGTTCTGGGGGCACAGATGTTTCATTTCTGTCTGACTGGAATACCTAAGATGTTGTTTTGGGTTATTCCAAGTAACATATTAAAACAGGTCTTTCCTGGGCAAGATTTAAAACACACACCCACACACACAACCATCAAGGCTTCACCTCTGAAAAATTAATATAAAACCAGGTCTGAAAAAATACCTATAAAGGTGGGGTGATTCTACTCATCTATGGCTATTCAAATGCTAATTTCATTCCAATTAAAGTAACTGAATGCCCTTCCATTAACTAGAGGGGTTTTGTGCTTGGCTTCCACTGCCATCTGGTGGTTGTACTAACATCAAACAAGGAATTTCTTGAATTAGCATTCATTTAGCAGTCTCTGCAGTATCATGATATTGACAAGTCAATACTTCCTGTAAGATCTCTAAAATGGTGGTGCAGAAGAGATTTTACATAAAGTCTTTGTTAACCACGACAAACCATATCTTATTCAAACACATCACTCATATGAACACATTAAATATAATGATTAGCAAATTCATAATGAAAAATATATAAGAAAAAAATTAAGCCCAATCACACCCCAAAATAAGAACAAAATTAAAGAAAGAGACAAGGCCCCTCTAAATATAAACCTGCCTTGTTTTAGTAAAACACCAACAGCCCTGACTGGTTTGGCTCAGTGGATAGAGCGTCGGCCTGCGGACTGAAAGTTCCCAGGTTCGATTCCAGTCAAGGGCATGTACCTTGGTTGCGGGCACATCCCCAGTAGGGAGTGTGCAGGAGGCAGCTGATCGATGTTTCTAACTCTCTATCCCTCTCCCTTCCTCTCTGTAAAAAACCAATAAAATATATTTTTTAAAAAATAAAATAAAATTCTCTTAAAAAAATAAACAAACAAAACAAAAAAAACAACAACACACATCATATAAATATCAGAAAAACAAATTGAAAATTTAGGGGTCAAATCATATTTTACTATTGAGTAATGTTACAAAAATATTTTTCACAAAATTTCTTAAGGTATTAATTTTTATTGGTATGTTTTAGAATTTATGTTTCTCTTTTGTGAAATGCCTTTTTGTCTTTGGTTCTACTGGGTTTTTAGTGTTCATACGGATTAACATGAATATTTTATTATTAAGGACTATATTTGTTATAATTACATTTATTATATAATTTTGGACAACTAATACATGGAATTTCTCTGTATTAAAGACAGAAAAGTTTAGCTCTGGCTGATTTGGCTCAGGGATAGATTGTTGGCCTATAGACTGAAAGGTCCTGGGTTTGATCCTGGTCAAGGGCACATGCCTGGGTTGTGGGCTCAATTGTTCAGGAGGCAGCCGATCAATGATTATCTCTCATCATTGATGTTTCTATCTCTCTCTCCCTCTCTCTTTCTCTCTGAAATCAATAAAAATTAAAAATAAAATTTTTTTAAAGACAGAAAAGTTTTAAGTTTTGGCAAATCAAGGGTATCAACTATTTCCTTATTCCTTTCACTTTTTTATTTTTAAAATAAATTTAGTTATTATTTTGAAAGGTAATACTTTCTTATAGTAAAAAATAAGAAAAGTCTCTTTACTACCTCATCATTTATTATAACCAGTTTCTTGCCACTTTCCAGAAAGAGCCATTGATTTTTAAGTTTAGTAAGCTCTTTCCTCAATCAAAGAAATATTTTTACTGAGCCTTTACATCATTTAATTTTGTTCCCATTTAATTCTTTAAACTACATAGATCTTTACTTTATATCAAGTAAAACTCTTTTTTCAACATGGCAAGTTAGTCTTGCCAGCAACATGTGTGAGTTATACCCTCCGTTCTCTGATTTGGGAGGTTTACTTTAAGACATATTAATACTTTACATAAAGTGCTAGCAGCTGGTTTGGCTCAGTGGCTAGAGTGTAGGCCTGCGGACCAAAGGGTCCTGGATTTGATTCAATTCTGGTCAAGAGCACATACCTTGGTTGCAGGCTCCTCCCTGGCCCAGGCCCTGGTCAGGTTGCAGGCAGGAGGCAATCAATTGATGTGTCTCTTTCACATCGATGTTTCTTTCTATCTTTCCCTTTCTCTCCCACTCTCCCTAAAAATCAATGGAAAAATATACTCGGGTGAGGATTAACTAAAAAAAAGACTTAACATATAATAAGAACCATTTATGAGATATATTTTCCATTGCATTGCTAGCTGAATGCCTATGTCATTACCACGCTGATTTAATTATAAGGTTTAGAATGTTTCAAAATTTACTATTAGATTATGTATAATGTTTAATGTTAAGGAAAGAGTTAGTTCTCCATCATCACTCTTCTTTTTCTAAATAGTTCTGGCTCTTCTTATTCCAAATGAACTTCAGAATAATTTTGTTAGGTTCCTAAAGAATTGGACCAAGTCACTTTAAGAAAAGGACTTTTTGAAAATTATTCTAAATTGTAAATTATTTTGGGAAGAATCATTACCTTTACACATAGATTGTTAGCAGAAAGAGTAGGATTAGTGATAAGCCCTGCCAAAGTTCTTAAGCTGGTGGTTTTTTAAGTAACAAAAGGATAAGAAACTCAAAGGTTGTTTTGTGCTTGCAGTGTGGCAGGAGAGATATGCAGAGAAATCCCCTAATTCAGAATAATTAAAAATGCTGGATAAAATATTTTAAAATATCATTCTAAATGCATCGCTGAATTGGTTGAAAAATAGGAGAAGTCCTCAAAGGCCACAAATAAAAGACAGCACGAATCCAAAGCAAGTCCTGACATTTGCAGGGACACCTTCCTATCCCTGCTGGCTTAGAGCACAGGCTGCATAGGGCCATGTAGGAGTTAGGAGATAAGAATGGGGCCTGAGCAAGGTGGGAAATAGAACTAATGACCTGTGTATAAAGTCATTTTCCCTGAAAGATCACATCCCCACAGTAAGTGATTACGGGTGAAGGGGGTAGCATCACCCTATAGAGAAAAACAGTAGAGATAATTAGCCTACATACTTTTATGAAGAAAAATAAAATAAGGAGAAAAAGTTTTCCTTGAAAATTACAAAATAAGTCCTCCTTCATGTAGGACTAGGTACATCCTATCCTATGTGGAGCAGATAGGATGGCTGACGGTGCTCCCAGGGCAGTGGTACCCCAAGTATCCAGGTATATTCTAAACATACACCTTTCTAGGGGAACAGACCCAAATGGTTACAACAATTTAATTTCCAAAGAACATACACTCACAACTTTAAAAAGAAAATCACAAACCTATGAGAAAGAGATAACAAATGACAGTGAGTTGAAACAGTTAACTGTCAATTTTGATCTACAGAATATCAAATGAGTATGTTTAATATATTTTATAAGAAACTAGAGGCCCGGTGCACAAAAATTTGCAAAAATTTGGGGGGGGTCCCTCGGCCTGGCCTGTGCCCTCTCGCAGTCTGGGACCTCTTGGGGCATGACCACCTGCTGGTTTAGGCCCGCTCCCTGGGGAATTGGGCCTAAGCTGGCAGTCAGACATCACTCTGGCAGCCGGGGAGCCCTCTGGGGATGTCCACTTGCCAGCAGGGAGCAGGCCTAAGCTGCAGTTGGACATCCTTAGCGCTGCTGAGGAGGCGGGAGAGGCTCCTACCACCACCGTTGTACTGGCAGCTGGCAGCCTGGCTTGTGGCTGAGCAGAGCTCCTCCAGTGGGAGCGCACTGACCACCAGAGGGCAGCTCCTGCATTGAGCGTCTGCCCCCTGGTGGTCAGTGTGTGTCATAGTGACCAGTCATCCCCAGTCTTTCTGCTGTTAGGGTCAATTTGCATATTACCCTTTTATTATATAGGATAGAGGCCTGGTGCATGGGTGGTGGCCGGCTGGTTTGCCCTGAAGGGTGTCTCGAATCAGGGTGGGAGTCCCGCTGGGGTGCCTGGCCAGCCTGGGTGAGGGGCTGATGGCTGTTTGCAGGCTGGTCAAACCCCCCCAATGAGGACCCTCACCCCATGGAGGTTTGGCCAGCCAGGGTGAGGGGCTGATGGCTGTTTTCAGGCTGGCCACACCCCCTTTAAGGTGGGGGGTCCCCACTGGGGTGCCTGGCCAGTCTGGGTGAGGGGCTGAGGGCTGTTTTCAGGCTGGCCAAGCTCCCCGGCAACATAAGCTCCCAGCCTCTCCTTTTTTTCTTTTTTATTCCGGGATTTATTTACCTTTTATAATTGAAACTTTGTTGCCTTCAGTGGAACTCAGAGCCAGCTCCTACTCGCTCCAGCTCCATGGCCACAGCCGGCTGAAAGCAGGTATCTGGGGTTTATTTATCTTCTATAATTGAAACTTTGTTGCTTTGAGTGGAGCTCAGAGCCAGCCAGGAAGCTTGGCTTCCTCCATCACTGGAAGCCCAAGCCTCCTGCTCGCTTCAGCTCTGTGGCTGCCAGCTGCCATCTTGGTTGGGTTAATTTGCATATAGTCGCTCTGATTGGCTGGTGGGTGTGGCTTAAGGCATAGCAAAGGTTCA